TCAGCCAGTAAATAAATACTGTAAAAGTATTTGTTAACTGTAATAAAATTAGTTAAAATTAGGAAATGAATAAAAACAACCCTCCTGAAAAATGAAATGAAAAATGAAAATGTTTTCAGTACCACATTTAAAAAACAAAAGGAGAAAATGGATCCTGTCCAGTGATAAGTGAGCAGCCTGGTGAAGAGAACTGGATATTAATCTTGGGAGACATTACAGCAATTATAAAATACATGCAGCGCAGTCATTCAACACAAAAGACAAGTTTTTGATTGTTCTGCGGGTTAACGCTAGCATAAGTGATTGAAAATAGCAAAGAATCAATCTTTGGTGAAACATTAATAAAATGTTACTGATGTGTGACAAAGATTGTAAGTTGTAAGTTGAAACTAATGATGAGAGAATTCATTACCAATTTCCCGTATTTGGTTGGTTCTTAGGTTTAAGAATCTTCTAGACCAGTATTTCTCAACTTTGGCAACTTTAAGGTATGTGGACCTAAACTCTTGAGTTGAGTTTCCAAAGTTGAAGAACACTGGCCTAGATGCAGTGGATTAGCCAGATAGTATTGCGACTGTTCCAATACTGAGCTTGAGAAATGTGAAAACAATCCAGAGAGAGCACAATAAAAAAGGCCAATTTTGCAGTCCAATCCAGAACCATGACCATGTTTCTGTTTAACCCAATATTGTTTATGGTGAAAGAAGGTCTCGGTGTGTGCATGCATGCACTTTTCACATTCACAATCAGAAAAGAGAAGGAAAAGTTCTTTGGCACATTTTATAAACATGGCTTGTGATATCATGAAGCAAGCAGGGCAGCATGGTGACAAATACCATTTCAGTAAACAATGTCTGAAAATAACTTTTTGTTTTCATATATGCACACATACATACTTCAGGCATAGTATACATCATCACCTCACCCTTTCTGAATAGCCTTTGGGCTCATGCCAATGTGTGTGCTGTTTTTGACCCAGGACAATTTTCCATGAATCTGAAGAAACAGGAGCTGCATTTTCTCCCGCTTCTTGATCACCAACTTCAAGATTTAAAGAGTTAGAGATTTGTTAGCAGAGAAGTAAAATACAGTGGATATTCTTTTATATTTCTGCAGCTTTGAAAGATTTGATAACAAGTTTGTTCGCCTAAAGACTTTAGATTTTATCTTTAAATGAGCTGAATTCTTGCAAAGTTTGTTAGTGAGTTGTACTGCAGAGGTGGTATTAAGCAGGTTCTGACCAGTTCTGGAGAACCGGCAGCAGAAATTTTGAGTATTTCGGAGAACAGGCAAATACCACCTCTGACTGGCCCTGCTCCCACCTATTCTCTGCCTCCCGAGTCCCAGCTGATCGGCTGGGTCTTCTTTTGTTGCCCTGCACAGGAGAACGGAGCTGGAAAGCAGGTTAGTGGGATGGGGAGGGCATGGAGATTTTGTAGTAACCTTCCCCGGGAGTGGGGTGGGAATGGAGATTTTACAGTATCCTTCCCTTGCCATGCCCACCAAGCCACGCCCACAGAACCCATACTAAGAAAAATTTAATCCCACCACTGTTGCACTGTCTTGAAAAAAATCTTCCTTACTTGACAGAAGCATCTTTGCATTATTCATCACAATCTGCCTATGGAGAAAGAGGGAGAGAGAGAGAGAGAGAGAAAGAAACTAGAAAGCATCAGAGAGAAAGGGAAAACTTTGGTGTGACAGAGACAGTGAGGGAAAGGGGTGCTAGTATGAATTTCTCAACCAATTACCTTGTAGGAATATGAATGCAGATCTTTACAGACCAAGAGATCTCTCTGAGTGGGGAATAGCAGAAAATGGATGATTAGGTTCTTTCTCCCTTTGCTCCCAAAATTCAAAGCAAGGATCAAGAAATACTTTAGGATCGGGATCATAATGTTGGACTAAGATAAAACCTCCTTTTTCCTAAGTAACACACTTTATCCTTTAATTTGTCCCCTCCTTCAGAGAAAGTGAAAACATTACTTTGACTTGGTAAATGGCAATAGGAAAAAGTGTCACATATAAATACACTCCACTGATGGCTGCTTTTAAAATCTATTAAAACTCTAGGAAATTCTAAACCCCTTTCGTTTAGTCTGACCCTTCCCGCTCAATTTAACTTTGGCTGCTGCTAAAACAAAAATAGTTACTGCTGCCAGTGGGCTTGCTTTAAATGATGAATGTTTGGAAATCCTGAGTGGAGATTGATGATAATGAGGAAGGGGAGGAGGAGGAAGGTGGGCTTTGTACTGAGAGACTTCAATTCATCCAGAGACTTATTTTTTTCTTAGTACCCAGCGGTGTAAGGCTGTCCTGCATCACCTCACATTCCAACATTACGAATTCTGCTGCTTTCTCAGGCAGAAAAAAAATATTCTCCCACTCTGACCTGTTAGAGGAGGAAAAAGATTCATTTTCCCAGAGCTGTAGAGGGAGGCTCCTGCTGTGTGCAAAGGAGAAGGAGTAAGACACGCAACTTTGTCTTTTCCTGCCAAATCATGCCACTGGAGGTGGCTTTAGGCTGCTGAGACTTAGGAGAGGATGTGTCCAGCTCTGTTTCCTGACTGATAACAGTAGCCGGCCCCTCCAACCGGATGTTATGCGTCCTGGGGCTACCTTTATATTTAAGCAAAGGGATGAGGAAAAATCACGACTTGTTTATACTTCAAGAAAAATAGCGTCGCTTTCTTGCTCTCTGTGAACACATATAGATGTCTCCCTGAAAGAATAACATGATGAATAGTATAGTCAACTACTCCCATATTTGAGTGGTGGGGGTCTAGAATACCCAATATAGATTGCAGCCTTAAAAAAAAGATTCAGACATCCATGCCTCGTTTCCTTTTGCTTGCTTCTTCACTTTTGATGGAAGGGTATCTAAGGCAGAAGTCATACCTGAAATAACTTTCTATCTGATTAACTTTATCTGTATAGACAATATCTTACTGTTTAAACCTTCCTTTTATCTGAAAAGAAGCCCAGGGTAATGACAATATATACAAAGCAAGGCTATAAAAACCAGCTTTTAAGACATATATCATTATTACCACCACTAGTATAAAAATGCAATCTTCAGGTGCACATTCCTTAAAAGTAATTTACTGACACTGAAAATAGTGCTCTCAAACATGGCAAAAGGCATTTTGTTGCTTGAGATGGACAAAAACGCAGTCCTTTTTATTGCACAAACACAAGCTGATTGGGCAGGTGGTTGAATCTTACGTTAGTTTTGGTAGCAGGACAGGATCTTTCACTTCACGTACTATATTAAGTTTATTTTTATTTCAAAGTTATATGCAAATAACAATACATCTACTAAGTGATAAAATATAATTAGATAAAATCTAATTTTATTTAAATCCAATTAAAAGTATGTTAATTATATTAACTAAACTGAATTAATAAGATTGCTCTTCACAGGCTGAATAACTTCTATTACATTGAGGATTACAGTTTGTTGACAAGTTTTAGAGCATTCTGAGGTTCCATATATGCCACCTATGGTGGAATTATAGCCTTCCACTTTTGAAAGACCATGTTAGGTACTGCCTTAAGGATTTCTTTACCAAAGACGCTAAGAGATTCCAGGTCTATCATCTCATTTTGTATATTTAGAACACAGGGATTAGAATAGAAATAAGCTAGGGAAGACTGGCATAAAGCATGCCATTGTAAAGACCTGTCCTCTTGTAGAATAAGCTGTTAATTTCCTAGAGGAAAATGCTTCCTTCTGAATATATCTCATGTTCATGACAATGGTCTCTAAATCACAGAGGGTACTATTACTTGGCAGTACAAGCATAGAGTAATTTTGATGAAGCCATTTTGTTTTCATGTGGCCTCATAAGTCTAGGATGTCTTTCATCTCAGATATCTTCACATTTTGTCCTCTTCCCACCCATGCCCTATCCTTTAATTTACAGCAATTTCTAGAGACTTATCATGCTGCAACAAATTTTGGAGAACACTGAAGCAATGAGGACATTAGTCTTGTTATTATAGTCTCTTTCAGGAAGGAAATTCCATTATCTGCTTAGATGATGGGTATGGCCCCCAAATAATACTTGATCTTCCCATAAAGCCCCAGAGTGTCTGTTTATTAGCCTAAACTGAAGACAACTGAGAAACCTAAAAGCTATTGGAGGGTGGAACCCTGAAACTGAACTGCATTCCTGTTTAATTTGTTGATGAAAGATCAAAACCAAGAGATCCCTAAAGAGGATGTATCTGGCAGGAGAATAGGGGCAAGTGGTATCTTGACAGCCATTGCTTTGACTTAAAATATCCAAATTTAAAAATAAATTCAAATTAGCCCACTCCCACCAATTGTACATTAATCTGAATTTTAAAATGACGCTTGAATGTTTAGGATTACAGTGCATATATGAATCATTGAACTAATGCAGGCAACTAAACATGCATGTACTGCTGGCTATAAGAATATAGCTATATAAGAATCCTGACATGTGGCTTAACTTCAATAAATTTCCCCAGCCAACATGTGGCACTATTCATGCAAAAGCTGAAATAAAAACTTCAGAAGCACAGAACAGGTCACTGGATTGCACTGCTAAGTAATGCTTGCTGATTCTCAGATTCTAACATAAATGTTAGTTTGAATTTATTTGCCTATTTCTATCCTCTATAGGTAAAAATATTCAAATTTGGTTCTGCTAAGATGGTAATTGTTTTAAAATTAAGATATTTAAACTAAAGGAAGTAAAAGTTTCATATAATGGGTGTATGATATGCCTCAATCTATTCGCAATACCTTCCATAGCAAATTGAATGTGTCAGTGCAAGGCTATGAAAGAATCCTGTCTTTTAAAATGCAGACATCTGAACACTACCTCCAGTCTGAAGTAGTGTCACCCTGGAGAATCATCTTGAAAGGCAAAGTACTTAGTATGCCTGGGATAAAAAAGTACAATTATAAGGAGATGTATGGATTGCTTCCTCATTGAAGGATGCACATTAAGAGCATTCCAAAGCAATCTTCATTTCTTTTTCTTCTTTTGGTCCATTTTGTCTTCGTTTTCTAAAGAGTTGTCCTGTGTCTTCTTTTGAAGTTTGCTTGATTTTTTCCCTCGCAAGTCAGGACAGAACGGAGGTGGGTATGGAGCAGGTGAATTGAACATCAAGGCCTTTTTCTGAAGCTTTAGTTCCAAGATTTCAAAGGTAGCCTGGATCTCATGTTGAATAATACGATGCAGGTTCTTGATCTGTGTTTTAATTACTTCATTGACTAAAGATGTTAGTGTCTGAAAAACAAGATTAATATATCTAATGTTTCTGACATATTAAACAATTAATATGGTTGGCAATTGATTGATTAGTTTAACAGATTATAATCTGCTTCAATCTAAATAGACATGAATGTGTTGAGTTTACCTGTCCAGGGTGATCATCTAAAGAATAGCTTGAAGGTCTCCACTGAATGGTGAATAACGCAGAGCAAAATACAGAGCAAGAATAGTATAAAAATAATGTAAAAATAAAAATCACTACTACAATTAATATTATCTCTGAGGAAAGTTATAGTCAATTGGGGCACATTGGAATGTTGTTTTTAACCACTTAGTCATGTCCGACCCTTGGTGAATTTATAGGCAAATGCTGTCTATTCTACCCTTTCAAGCACAGCTTCTTTCAATTGTATTAATTTGATTTGATTGCAGAAAGCAAGGACACTTAAACCAATATTGACCTCCATGAGAAGAGCAGTCCAGGAAGTATAGTCTACCCCAGAATGCCTAACAGTTCCTCCACACTATGTGTAGTGCCCATTATGGGGAATGGAAACTCTCAACAGATTCTCTTTAGATGGTCAGACTGGTCAGGCAGATTCAGTTCTGGCAAAATGTTACCCAATATATGCTGGTGCTATGCCCTACAAGGCATATTGGGGGAGACTTGAATATGAAAACATTTGAGAATACTTGTAATGTATAATGCCTTGCTAAATCATTAGAATCTTATTCGTCCTTTGATTAGATAAACAATATTTCCTCGTTGCTTAGAAGAATGACTTCTAAACAAATTACTTGCATACCCTCATAATTCAGCAGCTGGTAAATACTGGTAGTTACATTATTCTTTGTAGGTCCTGTGAAAAGATAACAAAAAATATGGCCAAGGAAGCAATCAAACTACCGTATATCAACAGCAACTCCATTTGCTGGATGTTGTCTGCCTTGACCTTCTTAAATCCATTTGTTTATAACCTTTCAGTGAGGTGAAAGTATAAATGATTAAGGCCATTTCCTCATTAGTGATATAGCATTGCTTAATTATAATTGTGGTTTACACAGCATATGGTTCCTTTCATATACAGTATTGGCACACCAATGATTGAAGAATACTATAATTTATTAGTGAAAAGGCATGGAAAAGCTTCTTGTCTACCTAACTTTATTTTATTTGTCCATTAACTTTGTTAATACTTTGTTAATGCCAGCTGAAAACCAAATGGCCAACCTCCCATGCCATCTTTATTTGCAAGGATGCTTCTGGGCCTCACTTAATCCTTCCATAATTAGACAAGAAGAAGAATAGGGAGCAGTGAAATTTCTTTAAAAATGTATGCATCTCCCTGGGAAAAATATTAAAGTATGCTAAAGCAACAGGAACAGTAATATGGACGGGTAACCAGAGAAGCAATAAATGCATGTTTTACAACGGAACACACACACAAACACGAGAGCCAAAGCCTCCAAGGAGGACTAGAAGATAGATTTCTCAGGTTCCACATGGCAGAGTAGTAGGAGAAGTATTCAAAAACAGCAGGGTGCTATAATCATGATACACATTGCAATGGAATGAGAAGAGGTCCATATGCCAGCTAAGATTTATCAAGCTAAACACATCCTCACTGATTAGGTAGGTGTGCACATGCATATATACACAGACACCTGCTGAAGGGTGAGGCTTGGGAACATAAATTTAATCTGACTATAAAGCTGGGAAGGAGCCAACAAAACAATGTGGGGACCTAGAATATCTTTTAGGTCAAGGTGGCAGCTGGCAATATGTATGAATGATACTGGTGAAAAGAAGCCAGCAGGCAGCTGAGGTAACATTCCTTTAATCAATTTCCCAATAGCTGTTGAGTTTAGAGGAAATCCATTGGACCTTGAAGGCCTCAGTGATGATAGGCTGAATTTAGGACTGACAAAGAATTGGGAATAGCAAAATTTGGATCCCCCCCCCTATATATACAGAATGGTATTGAACAAAAAAAAAATGATTAGGGAACTATATCCCAGCAATCATTGCTTGAGTTCAGAAGGTGATATTCTCTCCATTCATTTGAATGTACTTGCCTTTGCTGGCAGCTCAATAAAACACAAATGCATAACCATTAATGGGGCATTCATTCCACTCCGCAGATGGGCTAACAAGTGAAAAAACTGCCTCTCATTTCCCTAAACAATATCCTACAGGGCAGAGAAGAACCAGAAAAGCAAGCCCAGGCAGGTGGGAATTTTCAATCTGGAACGTGATAAACTTGTGAGAGGTTGATTATGCAAATCAAAGATAGAGAAGAAACAGAATGTTTTAGAGGAGTCAACCAAAGTCATAACCCTCATGTGCTGTCAATCAACAGTGTGAACTGCACGTTCTGAAATCTTCAGGGCAAATAAACAATACAAACTGTAATTAAGAAGCAAACAGCAAGTTTAAGAGCCATAGAGAAATAACAATATTGCTCTCCCTCAACACATACAAGTGTGTTGGATTTCAGGTTGCATTATTTCCTTCAACTTCTTCAGACTTTCTAGATCGTAGGAATTATATGGTGTCCTCCTATGACAGGGATGTCATTGCAAACGTGGTGTGCCATTTGGGTGGGAAATGCCTGGAACGCAATAAAGCCCACCCACTCACCTCCTGCTGGCAGACTGGGTAATGTGGTGAGAGGAGAGGTGGAGAAGCAGGAGGAGAGCCAAACGGATAGTATCCTGAGGAAAAGTGCATGTGCTACAGTAGGCTGTGGACACCCCTCACTCGCCCCTTTGCCTGGCTTCCCTCCTTCTGGTGTCTCCTCAGCTCTTGCTAACTCACTCATGCTCTACCTCTCCCGTCTAGCTTGACACAGGCAGCAGTTCATGATTGCCCTTTGCAAGCCCACTATCAGTGAAGCTGGGTGCTGGTGAGGACTGGCTTTTTGCCTAGGTTGGTTCAGCTGTCAGGTGGAAAATGGCCTCCTTCCAGGCCCCAGCCTCTTTTCCCCCGACAGCTGACAGCCAGACAAACCTAGGTAAAAAAGCCAGCCCCCTCTGCTTTTCTCACCTTCACAGGTTCAAGGGGATGGTCGGGAGGATGGAGCAGGGAAAAGTTCAAGTGCATGGAGAACAAGTGGCTTCCAGTCAATTTTCTTGCCTGGCTGCAGCTCGCACCATTGTGTGGCACAGTGGAAAGAAAGTCCCCACTAAGTTTTAGCCAGATTCAGCGGATGCTCCAAACTCTTTCCCGAAGAGACTTGGGGATCAGCATGTAGGGTGGGCATGACAGGTGCTGCAACTACCCCTTCAAAAACAACCTGCCAAGAGTGTGCTGGTGCTTGTTCACCTGGCTCTCACGTCCATGTTGTAAATGACCAGATAGGCCATTGCTAAGGCACCAGCTCCTTTCCACCACTGGCCTGCTGATGCTGCAGGCTCCGGCTCCTGGAGCCACTCTCTGGCTGGCAGCCCTCCGACTGCAGTTCCTAGAGGTCACCATGGAGCCGCTTCAACTGCTTCCCTGCTTTGTAGTGGTAGGAGAATGTAAGGCCAGGCGCGTGGGCACATGGGCCAGCCAGCCAGTAGGACCTCGCCTTTTGGGGCATCAAACGGCTCTCCTGGGGAGGTAGGGAAGGAAGAGAGGGGCCACCTGGCTGGGAAAGAAGAGCGATGGGAGGAGGGCGAGAAGAGGAGAGCAGCTGGGCCTGGCTGCCATATGGTCTGAGCGAGAGGCAAAGGCAGGCAAGCGAGAGAGCATCCAGAGAGCAGCTGGGCTGTGGGTGTGACTCTAAGCAAGTGGCCAGGGCAGGCTAGGTGAGATAAGGAGTGTCTGGGAGGGGCAAGTGGGGAGGGGCCAGCCAGTGGTGGGATCAGGAAGTTCGGTGAACTGCGCAAAAAGTTAACAATCGGTTTGGCTGAACCAGTGCGAACCGGATGAATCACACCACTGGCTAGGCCCATCCCTAACCAAAGTTCCTCAGAAGAGATTAAATGAAATCCAGTGGTGATCAATTACCTATTGCATATGTATAACAATAATAACTTAACAATACATAGTGTTAAATTAACAATATCATAGAGCAGGGGTGGGCAATGATGGCCTTTTTATGACTTGTGAACTTCAACTCTGGGAGTTGAAGTCCACAAGTCATAAAAGGGCCATCGTTCCTCACTTCTGTAAAAGATGCTACATTCTTCATTTACCTCTGTGTTAAGGGTCTGTGTTTGTCTTCTGACCCTTTGGTACACTTCCCTGAGCAGATGTTCCCGCTCTGCAAGCAAAGTTTCTCGGATATGCAATATACTGGCCTGTTTTTCTTCTTCAGCTGCACAGAGGGCAGCTAATTGTTGCTGGTAGTTCCACATTTCAATATCTATGCCTTCACTCAAAGGAGGGGGACTGGGGGGAGCACAGATCTCAAGAATGGCAAATGTCTGATTGCGATCTCTCTCCCGAGTCATCACAAACTGGTACAGCCAATAATGCTTGAGAAATGTGTTTGAAAAGTAATCAAACACAGCAGACTGATGGAAAGAGGAGAGCTGAACCGGAAAGGCAGTCAGTTTCTCTTTAAGGATTCTGATGGCTTGCAACAGGGTAACACCTGAAAGGAAGAAAAGAAAAGAGCAATGATACACATATGTTTGATAAATACAAATTAAAAAATATACATACAACTTTTTCCTGCTGTTCACTCAATATACAAAAGAAGAGATAAGCATTTCCAAATGCTGAAAAGACAGTCCATGTGAATGGCTACCATTAACTCAATCTTATTCATTTGTTTTCCATGGAAATGTTGTCTTTTGGTTCCAAGTAAAATACCAGGAGTTGGTAAAAGTAAAATGAGGGGAAGGTAGGAATAGAGATCCTGTTTTGCCCAAAGCTGAAATGGAGCAAAACAACACAATACAGAAGCCTGATGATGGCAGATGAGATTCTGCCGAAACGTTGCTACAACTTTAAAAGCACAACTATAATGACGTGGGAAAATACCCGAACAAAGCTGAATACCATACATGTAAGTACCCGTGAAAACTTTATATATATATATATATGTGTGTGTGTGTGTGTGTGTGTATCTTTGGTTATTCGGGTTTTCTCCCGCGTAAGGTTGGAAGTATCTAGGCAACGTTTCGATGAAGTCTCATTCATCATCTTCAGGCTTCTGTCTTCAGCTCTGTGCTTCTCAGATATGTGTGTGTGTGTGTGTGTGTGTGTGTGTGTGTGTGTGTGTGTGTGTTTTTAAGTTTACGCTGGTAAAACCATTCTGGCACAGCAATAGGCTGCCCCAAATTTAAATATGAAACCACTATAAAAGTCTGACTCACAGATGAACACTATACAGAAGCCTGATGATGGCAGATGAGATTCTGCTGAAACGTTGCTACAACTTTAAAAGCACAACTACAATGACGTGGGAAAATACCCGAACAAAGCTGAATGCCATATATATATGGAAGGAAGGGCAGAGGGGGTATTCAGCAGGTTCTGAGCAGTTCTGGAGAACCAGTAGCGGAAATTTTGAGTAATTCAGAGAACCAGCAAATATTACTGCTAATCGGCTGGGTCTTCTTTTGTTGCCCTGCACAGAAGAATGGAACTAGAAAGCAGGTTAGTGGGGTGGGGAGGGAATGGAGATTTTACAGTAACCTTCCCCAAGGAGTGGGGTGGGAATGGAGATTTTGCAGTATCCTTCCCCTGCCACACCCACCAAGCCACACTATGTCCACCAAGCCATGGACACAGAACCAGTAGTAAAAAAATTTGAATCCCACCATTGAGGAAGGGCACATCCAAAAATGAAGACAATCACTTCCCAGCTGCCTCACTCATAGGGGTATGTTAGGGACATTGTTTCTGACCAATTTTATCCACTGCTCAGGCCCAATCTTTCCTGCCTGCACTCCCAAAATTTGGTCCCATTCTATTCACTATATGGAAAGGTATGTGACTAACTAATGAGTCCTGGGCCATTGAAAATAATAAAAAATAATGATAGGCTCTAGACAAAAAATGATTTAAATTCATGTACTTTGTACTGTATATTTGAATAATCCAATAACTTACCAAATTATCACATTACATCCAAAAATAGAACATTGACCCTTATCAATACAACATGGTAGCATATAATAACAAATTGTGTTCCTTTTCAGCCACCTGAACATCTAAAGCAATCTTCCAAAAAGTAACAAAACAGAGGTTCCAAAATAAATTGAATTCAGTATGGGAAGAGATAATAGATATCCTTAACAATGACTGATGGATTAGAAAACCAGATTTTAATCCAAAACTACCCTGTTTCTCCAACAATACAGCCTCCCCCAATAGAAAGTCCCAGCATGTTTTATAGGCATGAAATGAAATTAAGCCCCTCCCCCCAAATTAAGGCCTATATTAAAACATGCGAAATGGGGGGGAATGGTGGGGGGGGCTTGCCGTTAGGAAGTACTCTTGTTGCACACCCGGATATGGTGCTGCCTGCATTGACCCCGACACAAAGTGCCCCACCAACGCCGAGGTCAACATCCAAGCCGTCGCCGCCCACTCGCCCAAAGATGGGGAAGGGGGGGAATTAAGTCAACCCCGAAAAGACAACCTAGCCATTTTTTCGGGGCTCAGAAAAAAATAAGACCCGACCTTATTATATGAGAAACACGGTAGTTAGAAACCTTGCTTTATAGGAAAAAGATTTTGGTTAAACTGAGGGAAGTGTCTTGTGTTATTTGTAAGATAATTTTGTTAGTGGATTCAATTCATTGAAAAAGAATACATTTTTCCTTGCAGCAGTTTTTACAGAATAATAGAGTTGGAAGGGACCGTGCAAGTTTTCTAGTCTAATCCCCTGTTCAAGCAGGAGAACCATTTCAGACAAGAGAGATACCGGGCAAATATTCTAACTGTAGGAAATATTCTTGTTTGGATTTGACAGAGGAGTGGACCAGAATATTGAATTGATTACTTCTGGTATCTAAGTGGATAAGATTGATTGATTTGTATTTGTTTGTTTGTTTGTGGGCAATCTATGTGACTTCCCATCTTGAACAAGCAACTGGGCAATTGGGCAAAAAATACTATATATAAAACATGTTGTAAGAAATTAATTTTAAACAGTGCAAAATACAACTAAGAATAATCATCAAACTAAAGCTCCAAGGTTCCTCAAAGCAATTTAGATACTAACAGGCAAATCAGACTCCACAAATTTCCAGGTCCTAACAGTTGAGAAAAGAGCCAGATGTTCATAACCTTATAGAAAGCTAATCAGAGGGCAAGGCAGTTCCAAAGGGTGCATGTTTTTACAGAAAAGATATATCTCCTAGGTCCTGCATAATGTCATCATTCCAGAGAGGTGGGTACCTGGAAGATTCTCATCCTGTTGGACTCAGTAGAATGCATTGAAAGCATTGGCTATCCCTCCCTGCCCTTTACTCCCTCACCTTGGACCCATGCCTTCCTTTCCCCAGTCAAAGAGCCCCATCCCAACTGCACTAATAGAGCCCATTAACAGGTGGTATACACCTGGTGCACACCACTTACACATAAACAATCTGGGAGCTTTTTCATAGCATTCTGCACCCATAAGCTTGGGATGCCTGCCAACTCCTTACTCCACACTCAAACATCCTCCCACACACACCGTACCCAGGTGCTGAATGCTATGTTTAAAAATTAAGTAAAGGCCACAGCTTAACCACTCCTATATTAGACAAAGATTTTTTTTTCCTCTTTCAAATACACTGAAACAATTTTGAGTTGCAGGTGCGCCTGATTGAACTTTGTGCATGTAAAGTTATGGACACAAGCTTTCTACACAATGCATTGTGGTATCCTGAGATGCACTTCAGCATTGCTTATGATAGGAAATGGAGGCCAAGCCTGGAAAGGAGCCCCTGAGTCAGATATCATCGGATTAGTGTACAGAGAAAAATTAAATGGTGAAATGAAGTACCACTTCATCTGCACGTATAAGATATTGCCTTGAATGTTTCAAAGAAAATGTATTGCAAACTGAATGCTAGAAAATGAAGGAGAAAAGTTCTAAAACCTATGTTTCTTGTGCTGCCTATTTACCTATTTTCCTACTTACAGAGATTTAAATTGTGGATAATTCAACAGTTGGAACTCCTTTATCTAGAGTGTACATTTGTACATTCTGTTTCTTATTTCATTCATTCACATCTATTAACAGGTACATGTCACAATTCCCTGGAATAAAGTTAGTTCTTCTGAGCTATAACATCAGATAACTTTTGAAATAACACGAGGCCTACATTCAAGACACAAACTGTCAGACAGGTTTTGGGCAGTGCAGCAGTACCTAATTAAATGGGAGAGCACTCTTTCCTCTTTACCTTGCATTTCCTTCAGTTTAGATTGGTTGCTTACAGCTTCAGGCAGCTGTCCATGCCACAGCAGCTGGTAGCTTTGCCCTGCTCTTTCCTGTCCAGGGGAAAAAGTATTGGGCCAGATGAGAATACCTTGGACCCATGGGAAAGGGCCAGCATTGCAACAACTCAACTGACCAATAGATCTCCTAACTGAACAGCTGCCAGTATGATCACTCATTTGGTTTGTTATTTGTATGTCCATCTTAATCATTAAGACATCAAGTGTTTCATTTGTATATCCTGTGTAGCATCTTTATCCATATCATTCTTGTAATCTGTCATTTTTAAAATACTTTTCCAAATCAGTCTTAGTCTTGACTAGTAAAATCTTTTAAACATAAGCTAGCTATAATAGATTTTCTTCCTGGCAATCTATCCCTAATATGTTCTTTCAAATCTCCTAATGGAGCACTTACCATCACTGTAACTGAGTCCATCCACTTTGTTGCTGGCTGTCCTCTTTTCCCCTGCCTTTCACCTTTCCCAACATTAGAGTCTTTTTCCAAGAGCTGTGCCTTCACATAATGTGTCTGAAATAGGATAATTTGAGCCTATACATTTGTACCTCTAAGTGGATTTGTTCAATGATCCATGGGTTTGTTTTCTTGGATGTCCATGATATTCTCAGGAATCATTTCCAACACCAAAGTTTAAAGGTGTCAATAGTCTTCCTACACTTCCTTTAAAGTACAAGAATTAAGGTAATGTTTTTCCTATTATTCTTATACTGTCCAAGGGTAGTTTCAAAAGGTGTGGAAAATCTTTTACGCTTTGTTACCTATTACTTTGGATGAAATCTGATGACTAGAGTGACCTGAGCTAGGCAATGGATGTAGGACGAAGGACTGGAAAAGAAACTGGAAAAGCAAATTTCACAAAGGCAGTTTTCTCCTGATTCAGTGATGAGCGGAGAGCACTTCAACTCAGCACTGAGGAAACGTCCACTGTCAAAATCATGCAGAAAACTAACCTACTTTCTCACTGTCCATTTTGTTACATGAGAATTTCAAGGCACCTTTCTTCCTGCTTTCCTTAGCTTCAATAGAACAAGTGTTTTTCGAATAAGCTACTGTATGATGAATTCTCTTGCAGGAACAAAAGCAGGGGTGGTATGCTACTGGTTCGGTCTGGTTCAGGCAATCCGGTAACTCCAAGGATCAGCTGAGAGCGAATCGGTTCAGTTTGCTCCAATGATCAGCTGTTTGGGCTC